GAGACGATGGAAAACTCAATTCCGACTGCTCGGGCGACAACAAGCGACCCGCTGCCCAGACCAGCATAGCAATCAGCTGACGGCCGGCTCGGCCACAGACAGAGAAATTAAGAATTCTCAGACAGAGAGAGAGAGAGAGAGAGAGAGAGAGAGAGAGAGAGAGAGAGAGAGTGACGGAAAAGGTCGGGGTCGGGGTGGGGGGAGGAGGAGAGTAAAGAGAGGATCATCGTAATTTCGCCCATGACATGACACACCAATCTTAGGTAAGCGCCACAAGTCCAGAACTCTGCTCGGGTTACCCGGATATTGCTGTTGCTACGAGAGGCGATTGAAGCGTCATCTGACCCCCGTGACTCTCGGCAGAAAGGATCGAAGGCTTTGACGCGCTCATTTTTGCGTCAGGACACGGTGGAATCAGGCGCTCGTCGATTGATTTTTTTTTTCGAAAGAGTTTTATGGCACTTGCAACACAGTAAGATCATAATATAAGCGCTGAAGATAAGAGGTGTCACAAGGGAGTAACAAATACAGAAAAGAAGGAGGGGAGATAAAGACGATAGATGTTTGACAGGGAAAGAAGGAGCAAACCACACCAGAGCACCCTCCAACCATCCACCTCGTAGATTTTTTGGGAATGTGGAGTTATTAGTGACATCTGAAAGCTTATGAATTTGCCCTGCTTTCAAGGAAAGGAACACCCATCTATCTTGAATAGAAGTCGAGATCGTTGCGATTGAACGAGGTGCGGTCGACTGGGTTGAGTGGTAAAATTAGAGAGAAAATGGCTGCCAAAGTTTGTTAACTTCAGTAGCTTGAGAGTCCCAGAAAACTAAAAAATTGCGTAGCTTGTACATTTAATTTAATCAACATTTTTTCAGTAAAATTCACATGGAAATGTGATTTTTGTCTTTGTTGAACAAAAAACACAAATTCGATAAAAATGGAGAAACCGGTGAAAACCCCCCAACATATTTCTTCCATTTTATTATTTTGATAAGCGACTGGTTTCACCAGATTCCTCACATTTATTCTACACTCGGTCCAAACGCCATCTGAACCAGCCCAGTAACAGGAGAGCCGAATCGTATGAGCTCGACGAGATTGAATTTCTGCAGCAAACGACGCTTCATTTCCACGGACACGTAAGTTACGCACAACCCGCAAACGTTTTCTTTTAATGTATTAATGTGGGAGTTCTCACGCCCCGGCCCCCATCCACACATTTTAGATCATTTAGCAGGGGGGCTTCGACTCTGATTTTCAGGGCCAACCCGAGCTGAGAGGGATACAGCATCCCTTCAGACAGACGGGAAAAAGACACACATCACACGATAAACAACAACAACAACAACAACAGAAAAGCAGCCTTTTCCACTTGAATATCGAACTCATGTCTTCTAC